GGGTATTGAACTGAGAGTGGTGACTGAGGCACTGGGTGGTCAGGGCTGTGATAGACCAAGGGCTGATCTCACGGCACCACCTCAAGAAGTGGGCATCCAGTGCTCATGCCAACATTACTCTTATCAGGGAAGAAGCTCAGAAAACTCCTCCAGTAGATCCGGCTTGCCCAGAAAGAGAAGGCCACCATGGATATGGATGTCCCCTCGAAGGAGCCATGACCAGTGAACCACTGCCCAAATGGCAAAAGAAGACAAATGTCCCTGGGATGTAAAAATGAAGGAACTTGAAAATGACAGCTAAAGCTCTTAACTCTTACACCAGAAGATTCTCAACTGGTTGTTTCAGGGGACTTTTGAGAAAGCATGACCACTTTTCAATCTCCCCAGATTATTCTTCCATAACAGCCGACTGACCTCCCCTAGAGGGATGTGTTGGGAAGGAAGATTGGAGAGGGTCCTCTCTAGCAGTCAAGTCCATTTGTAATAAAGTCCCAGAGCTATGGGAAAAAAAAGAAAAAAAGAAAAAAAAATTATTTCCAATGTCTTCGATGCTGTTCAGGATGACTTCTGGCTTCTTTGGCTTCAGAAATAGTTTTGAAATCCCTCTGCAAGATCTCCAGATCCCGAAGTTAAGGACAAAGATTTCCATTTTTCCTCTAGGAGTGTTCTGTTTCGTCTTCCTTTGTTCAAGTGATCCATTTTCCTTCTGCAGCCTATGCATAGACATTCTTGCCAGAGATATTTTCCTGCTTAAAAGAGTTCATTCTATGTTAAGTGGGCAAGCATTCTGGATAAGTGAGGTAGCAATGTTCTTTCTCCCAGAGGACTTTTACTCAGTAACAATACTTCATTCATCCCCATTTAAAAGCAGGAAATAGAGGCACTGAGAGGTTAGGTCACTTTCTCAAAGTCATGCAGCTAGGTAGTGATGTCCCATGGCAATGGGGAGAAAGGAGGAAACTTTGATCTTTCTGCTATGTATATATTAATATATATATAAAACTTCTCCAAGCTTCTGAGATAGACATGACTCAGGACTTAGGGGTTCCAAGGGAGAGATTTACCCACTTCTATGTTAGTCTGATTATGCTCTGTTTGGGTGCTTTTGACCTTCAAGTGCATCTTTGTCATTCTTTTTACCAATGCTTTCATTCCAGGGCCAGTAGTAGATTGTGATTATGTCCTTTTTAAGGATAAAATTCAGTGTTCGCTCAGGAGAAATGAAGTACCCCATTAGAGTAGAGGGAACGGATAAAAAGGGGAATGTGAGCTTGAAGCGGACACAAAAAAGTAGCCTTCAGTGCTCAGAGTGTGGGGTAAATGAATCCACAGTACTAGTTAACACCTCCTAAAGAAAGGCACCATAAGTAGCTCAATTAGGCCAACAAGGCCCTTAATGGGTATCACTGTGCTGGCCTCTTCCTGGAATGTGTTGTCTCTTTAAAATCCTTGTGCTATTTTCAGATTTTAATAACTAAGGTTGTAGGTATTAAGAGAAATAAGTGATCACCTTTCTGGAAATGAGCAGCAAATTTTCTCCTCACAGGCAAAATGTATTTCGATTCAGTAAGCCATAGAACACTATTTACACTCTGTTCTAGGTAAACAAGTCCTTCGTCACAGGTTCTGCAATGACAATACACTCCAGTGTAGTTCAATATATCTATATTTAAATGCCACAAAAACTTTCTAGTGCGCCTACATCCTAAGTGATTAAAGCCTTATTAGACGTCATGCAATGCCTGTATATTTCTTAGTTCAATACATATAGTAGAGAATGATCTAATTTAACCTATTGCAAAGTATTTGCATCAGGTTAAAGAATGTGACAAGAATGGTTGCCTAAAGTGAATCAAACAGGGTGCAACCCCAGAGATGCCAATTTGAGAAAACAACCACGGTTTTTGTACAAAATAGACTGAGCCATTATAAACTTCTAATTTCCCAACAGAAAGCACCTTCACATTTAAATTCCCCCTTGCTTTTGCAGATCCCTTCTCACTGGAGGTATGTGATGAGAGGAAATCACCGAAAACGTGGCTGCTTCAAGGATCCTGAGCCAGATTTCACTCTCCTTGGTGTCGGGCATGACACGAATATTGCTGATGGTGCAATGACCTTTCAATAGGAAAAACTGATTTTTTTTTTCCTTCAGTGCCTTATGGAACACTCTGAGACTCGCGACAATGCAAACCATCATTGAAATCTTTTTGCTTTGCTTGAAAAAATAATTAAAATAAAACCAACAAAAAATGGACATGCAAGATTCCAGTATGCGAAAAAATCTTACTAAAAAAGTCAATTCAACAAAAGCCATTCTTTGATACCACTGCACAGTATACAAATACCATGTTCTTTACTACACACACACACACACACACACACACACACACACACATACACACACACACACAAATTTAAAATTCCAATTCAGCAAAGAGGCCCATCTTAGCTAAAAGAATTAATTCCTCGTGATTTAAAATTAAAAAAAAAAAAAAAAACACCTGTTTCCCAGTGTTTGGGGAGACAGACTGGCATTTCTTCTAGGATCTGCTGACCAGATGTTTTTGGTATTTCCTGTTGGTGGTGATGTTCTGTGCACCCTATTTCCTTTCAACGTTGCTGAAATGTGTATATCTTTAGAATGTAAATGCATCCCTTAAGAAAATTCAAATGCTTTGGAAAAGGGACTAAATGGTGACTTCTCTGTGTTCTTGAAATGGTTTTGTGAAAATGCTTTGATAACTTCCCACTTGGCAAAGGGATTAACAAAGCTTTTGAAATTGAATTTTGTGTGTAGCAAGGGACGGGCACTATCAGGATACCTCTTGGTGCTTTCCTAAAATGGATCCCGGGCCTTTCCAAGAAGCCTGGAATTTCAGCTCACAGATCTGTTTTTCTTGCTTCGGTGTGCATTTTAAGTCAATAGAGATGAGTATTTAGCATTGAGGTGAGGGAAATGTTGCCTATACTCCCAGATGTGTTTAGAATATCTTTCTCAGAAACAACACTGTGTTTAGCTCGGCTTTCTCTGCTAAGTATGCCTTTCAAGTGTATACCACGGAGACAGTGCCACATTGCAAGGCAGGACAGCAGGTTCAGACCACAGTTCTCAGTCTGACTTTACTCTTGCTAGGTCTGTCTTACCAACTGTTGCCTGCTACTACCTGTGGCTCTCCGTCAGACTGCATGTGTCCTTTTCTAGTTTGCAAAGACTAAAATGCATTCCCAAACCTACTGCTAATCCGAGGGCCTCAGCATCACTCCCAGGTCCTTGCTTGGAGCAGTCTCTCTCCACTGACTCTCTCAGAAGACCGCGCCACTGCTCCATGAGCTATCAAGTAACGAATTGCATATCTGCCATTGGTATCATCAGAACAGTCAGAGGAAATAGTCTCCGCTCACTAATTACCTCCTATATAACGACGTATGCTTTCTGTAGTTCAGTAGTTTGCTCTCATCAGTAACGTGCATTGGGAAGTTTCCAGACTGCAAAAACTAGGAGCTCGCATTCATTTCCCAAGTGTGACCCTTAGATGCTTAGTTGACTCGCTACATATTTGCTCCAGTCTTCAGAAAAGAAAGGAAGAAGTCTCGTTCCAACGAAACGTTTCCAGAAAAGTGTAATATAAACTTTCATTCCAAAAATTGTGTCATAAGCAAATAACTCACCTGTCAAATTTTAAACGATATTGAACAAAAAAAGAAAGCTGTTGTGTTTTCGTTTTGTTTTGTTTTCATGAAACTGTGATTTTCAACTTATGAATACTATACTGTCCCAGCGCGGGAAGCTAACGCTGTGTGAACACGAAGTTGTATAAAACAAACCAACCAACCTACACACAAACGTTTTCATAGGCACTATATAGAGAAGTGTGTGTATATTGACTCAAATCAGTTTTTCAGAGAGGAAACTTCACTGGGATGAAGAGGCAGGTAAATTGGTTTGTTATTTAAAAAAAAAACTTGCATGTTTAAAAACGTTGATTGCTTCAAATTTCTGCTACTAACTTCAAGCTATGGGATTTTGGCGGTAGTCACTTGAGGATTTTTTTCCAATTCTTTTCTTTTTGTTGTTAAAACTGTACTTCAGTGAACAGAAAAATTGCCAAGCAAACTAATGGCTGTAAAAGCGTAAACTGCATGTGGACATAAATTACGGAGCCTCATTGCCATGAGGTATTGTACAAAGTTTTAATACATTTTGTAAATAAAATTGTAAAGAAAGAACTCTGTTTCTTTGCCTTGACCAGTTGTTTAAAATTTACTTAGATACAGATGCCAAAACGCTATTCACTAATTGATTTCCTCACAGAAGTTTTGCCAATGACGTAACATTCATCATACTGATGATTTTCACAAAGGATTACACCTCTCTCCATCCCAACTGCAACTGCAGTCATGCTCAGACTCCTCAGCTGAAACAGAACCATACCTCCAAGATCTTAGATTAGTGTAATTTTAGGGCCTCCGTTCCCATTCTTTGTCTCCTTCACCCTTCAGGACCCTCTCCCCAGAAGACTGCCTTGGCTCTAATCTTGGTCCCCAAATTCTCCCACCCCCACATGTGACCTCCCAAGGAAGTGCCCAAATGTAGGACTGATCACTTTCAAGAACACTTCTGATTACTTTCTTATGCCATCACAAAGTATATGTCCTAGTACTCTTACTTGGCTAAGTTTTGTGCTGCTGTTTTAATGACTGATAATAACTTAATGCCCTATTATAAAACCTTTATTCCACCAAGGGTCATTAATCTAGAGTGGGGGAAGAAATAATGAATTTAGGACCATATGAGGAGCACCCCGCCAAAAAAACCGGAATTTATTCATTTAAACAATTGTGTATTATTCTTACATATTTAAGCTTTGGTCACCTTCAAAGTACTCTCCGTTTGATGCAATACACCTATCAAGCTGCTTTTTCCACTGCTCAAAACAGTTTTTGAACTCGTCAATCTTGATGCTTCTTAGTGCTTCTGCCATGTTTTGTTTCATCTCCTCCACATCGCAAAATGTTTCCTTTCAAAGACTTTTTTTCATCTGAGGAAACAAAAAAAATTACTCAGGGCAAGATTGGGTGAATAGAGAGGGTGGGGCACAGCAGTCATGCTGTTTTGGGTCAAGCACTGCTCAACATAAACACACAGTGCAGTGTGGGCAGGTGCATTGTGACAGTAGACAAACCAGTCACCTGTTTGCCACAACTCAGGACGTTTCTTCCACAAATCATGATACAAATTTCTCAAAACTTTCATATAAAAACTTTGGCTGACCGTTTGATCCAGAGGAACAAATTTCAAGTGTACTACAGGGGGTCTGCCCTTCAAAAATTAATCCCAGTTTTTTTGCCCCCCCATATTGATTTTAGAATATTTCTGAGAGGTAAATGAAAGACTAATGATTGAGTCTGATTTGTAGATTTGGAATGGGGACTATAACTTTATCCAATAAGTCAAGCAAGTGTTTAAATGTTGTCCAGTTTTATATTATGACCACAATAAAGAACAGAGGATAATGATAGGAGGAAAGGAGAGGGGATAAATTGCAATTGAGCCAGAAAAGAAGGAAAAGTGCAGTTGAGATGCTAGAGAGAAAAAAGGAAGAAGGATATCTGGGGCCAGAGAGTTAGGGAGCAAGGAACACAAGACCTTGAAGAAGAAGAAGAAAAATAGTAGTGGAAAAGGGAGAGTCTCAGGAAACTCTGAAGTGTAGGCTGATATTATCACACGGTGGACAACTTGATCTGCAGGCTTCATCATAATTACTACCATTTTCACTGTCCTCTGAAATGCTGAATAGCAGTTGAGCCACTGGAACTTTATAGCTCTTCCACTGCGTTTTAAAAAATTAAGACACTGTGGAAGTCCCATCAGAAAAGAATTGATTCTCTAGGGAGCAGGTTCAATGACTAGACTAGAGCGATGATCCCCTTGGGGGCTAATGAAATCAGTTCAAGTACCAAACGATGTCCCTAGATCCTCCAAAATAATAGATTTCTGTCTTAACAGAAACTCCAATTCCTTACCCCAAAGGAGAAGCTAATCTCAGGTGCTGTGGCAGACGACAGTAGAGCACTATTTTGGTTTAGGTGGAATTTAGCTTGTTTTTCTCCTCAGAGAACACGAAGAGCAAAAGGGGGTCCTTTTAATGTTCCTCAAATTGGACTATAGGCAGTTATATATTTTGCTTACACTCAGTCAGTCTTGCCAACCAGGTTTGCAAAAAGGCTTTGAGCTGCAAATGGCACTCTCCTCCTGTGCACAAAAGGAGAATGCTTCTTGGTCTCTGCTTTGGTATTCTTGCCTTGTTAAGACTCACATCTCATCACACTCAGTCAATAGAACAATCTTTAGACAGGAAGGGCACGTGTATTTAAGGAAGACTTTGTAGGATCATGGGAGAAACGATACTGCAAATCGCCTTTATGCTAATGGATGGGGGAAAGGGTTGACTTTCAGGAAATAAACCTAGAGCAGGAGAACAAATTGAGAAGCAAAAAGCAAAACCATTATTCCTCAGAATCCAGACTCAAGGAAGCAGAAGATGCATTAATATGCTATCTCACAAAGGTCAGAAGCCAGTTGTAACTCAAACACCACCAAAATCTATTATTTGTGGGAGAATTACTTTCAAAACCTGAGCCAATATTTTGGCTACTTTGGACCCTATCCCCCCTCTTGTCCTCACCTTGGACTGAGGTTTCTGGGAGCCAATTTATTATCAGATCACACGGCAGACAAATTCAGCAGCTGAGTTGTGGGAGTTCTGTGTGCCGCAATCAGTTGTGGGAGAACACAGAACTTAGTAGTTATCAGGAAATCGCTCTTGAATCTGGGATCACTGGAAAGACTTACAGTTTCACCCCTATTGTTCTAGACTTCAGGAAGGGCACAGTCTTGTGAGAGAATGATGGGTGGCACTAATAACTAATAAAACCTGCCTCCAGAAATAAAAGTACTAGGAACTAAGAGTGCTATGAAGTGCTAGAAATAAAAGTACTGGGAACTAAGAGTGCTATGAAGTGCTAGGATAATAGGAGTCACAGACAAGTCATTAATATTCAATGAAGACACAGGACATTTGAACTTTCTCAAAAGGTTCCCAGAGAGGGCATTGTTCTCAGAGATGGTTGAGGAAGACTTTAGGGGTTCTATCGGTGTCCCAAACCTACTGCCACTTCTTCAGCACCCTCAGTACCGAAGGTTCACAAACCAACTTGAATGGGCCAGATCCCCAAGTTCTCTGACAGCCATTGTCATTGTAACTAAACATCACTTGCCTGATGAGAAAGGAGTAATCTTCGCTTGACTGCAAGGGGCTTGTTGTCTTGGTGACGGGGTAGATGATGACTAAAAATAATCTGCATACATTCATGTCAAAACTGCTTAAAGAAAATACTGTAAAAAAACCAAACTCTCCTTTGGTCCTGCACTTGGATTTACTCTTCCTAATATAATCAGGTGGAATCTCATTTAATTTATCTTGTGCCTCAAAAGTTGTGAGCCTTTGCAACTGAGAGTCACACCAGGCCCCTGAAAGCCCCTAGCTGCTGAAAGTCTCAAATGACCACTTTCCTGCCAGCCTGCCTGCCCTCTAAGCAGGAGGTATTTGCTTATTTGTTGATTCACAATGCCTAGCTATAATTGTGTAAAATAATCTGCAATGACAGCCTAAGAAATAATCCTCTCCCCATGTCAGCAGCTTGGGAAAAATTACCCCTGCAGTGGTTCTATTGAGCTCAATCCTATAGCAAAATGGTTGATTTACAGTTTTCCTAATAAATATTCATTAAGCCTGAACAAGTCAATTAAAGCTCTGGCAGCAGCTCACAAGGAGCTTGAATATAGGCAGGCGGGGAAAACAACTTTTACAAATATTCCCAAGGAACATTGCAGGCTTCCCCCACAATAATACAAGAGTTTTTCTGAAAGACTGCAAACCCTCTCTGAACCCAGGGAAGCTTTCTAGGGCCCATAATTTCCCCCATTTGCAGTACAGTTTCAGAAAAGCTTCTTGCCCCTCCATCTCCATTTCATCAATTATTGCAGTATGGCTTCTGCCGCCACCATCGTACAGGAACTGCTCTTGCCAAGGTCACCAATAAACCGTAATCCATACTTTATAGTAAGGGAGGGCAAACTTTGGCCATGAGCTGAATCCACCACCAATCGTTTTTGTTAATAAAGTTTTATTGGAACACAGCCACATCTGCATGTGTGTATTATCTGTGGCTGCATTCACTATACAATGGCAGAGTTGTCCAGTTGCAACAGTATTGCCCACAAAACCAAATAATTTACTAACTTGCTCTTTCAAGAAAAAGTTTGCCAACTCCTACTTTACCCTATTTGATAGTCATTATCTTATGTGACTTCTTTTCAGAATTTGGGGCTATTAACCTCTCCCATCTTGCAAATTTCTATTATTTTGACTTCCATGGCAGCACTCTTTCATGAATTTCCTCCTATACTACTACTGCTTTCTTTTCTGCTTCCTGGTATCCTCTTCTATCGCTCTTGTTTTTTGTGTTTGTTTGTTGTGTGTTTTTAGAGACAAGTGTTGCCCAGGCTGGAGTGCAGTGGTGCAATCATAGCTTCCTACAGCCTCAAATTCCTCCTTCCTCAACCTCCCAAGTAGCTGGGACTATAGGCACACACCACCATGCCCAGTTAATATTATTTTATTTTGTGTATTTGTGGAGGTCTCATTATTTTGCCCAGGCTGGTCTCGAACTCCTGGCCTCAAGTGATTCTCCTGCCTCAGCCTTCCAAAGATCTGAATTATAAGCATGAGCCCCCACAACCAGCCTCCCCTCTTCTACCTCTTAATGTCAATGTTCTCCGAGTTCCACCATGTTCCCTCCTCTCTTCCCACTCGGTGTACCTTTCCCGCGTGCTATCACATTGTTTCCATTTCACCTACATTATAATGTCTTCCAATCTTCATTTCTATCTCAAATCTCTCTCCTGAGCTCTAAATCAGTATATTTAAATGCCTGTGCCTATGGGAACCCCTCATTTGGATTATCCCATAAACACATCAAACTTGACATTTCCAGGACAGAAAAGATTGTGTCTCCTCTTACCCTTACCCTTACACTGCTGAATCACAGCTCCCTTGAAGAGTGTCTGTCTTGATTTAAAACCCCATTCGTGGGGAGCAAAAGAAAATCTAAAAATAAATCTAATAAACTTTAAAATTGTGGATATGACAATCTAAAGAAAAAGAGGCTTGCACTCAAAGCAGAACCCAATGGCAATGGAAAAACAGATGGATCAGTTTAACACCAACTTGTATAGCTATAAGCTGTAGTTCTTTGTGTCTTTGTATGGGTCTTTGTATCTTTTGGATCCCAGAATTATAATATGGCTTGCACTCATGTGGAAGAAAACCATCTACTGTTATCACTGAAGAAGAATTGCACAAGACCCAAGCAAGCTAGCCAAGGGACCCAAGCCACTCCCCAAAACATAGCAATGAAGGAGGTGGTTCTGATCACTCTGGGTGAGATATTAGATGACACCTGGATGAAATCAAAGAAAGACCAAGAACAGAATAGGTTGGGGGGGGTATACCCTTTCATGTATATTTCATAAGTATTCAGATTACTCTAAAGAGTTCATTCTTTTTTTTTCCTTACCCTTTGCTATGGACAGAATTTTGTCTCTTCCAAAATGTTTATGTTGAGCTCTAGCCCCCAGTGTGACTGGATTTGGAGACAGAGTTTTTAGGAGGCAATTAAGGTTAAATGAGGTCATAGGGGTGGGGTGCTAATCTAATAAGATTGGTGGCCTTATAGGAAGAGGAAGAAGGCCTGGCTCGGTGGCTCAACCTGTAATCCCAACACTTTGGGAGGCTGAGGCAAGTGGATTGCCTGAGCCCACGGGTTCGAGACCAGCCTGGGCAACTTGGCAAGACCTCATCTTCACAATAAAATAAAAAACAGCCAGGCATAGTAGCACACATCTGAAGTTTCGGTTACTTGGAAGGCTGAGGCGGAAGGATCGCTTGAGCCCAGAAGGTCGATGCTGGGGTGGCTGTGAGTGTGTGTGCCACTGCACCCCAGCCTGGGTGAAGGAGTGAGACTCCAACTCAAAAAAATAAATAAATAAAATAAAATAAATAAAAAATAAGGGGAAGAGACTGAGCTCTCTATCCACCTGCATGCATGGAGGAAAAACTATGTGAGCACACAGCAAGAAGGTGGTTCTATGCAAGCTAGGATGTGAGCCCTCACCAGAACCTGACCATGCTGGCACCCTGATCTCAAACTTCCAGCCTCCTGTACTGAGAGAAAATTATTTTTTGTTGTTTAAGTCACCCAGTCTATGGTATTTTTTTATGGCAGCCCAAGAAAACTAAGATATCCTTGCCATTTCCACAGAGAGTTGGACTACACAGAGAGGACAGTAAGATGGGAGGCCAATCACCACCATAAACCTAGTCACCCAATCCACAAACCTAGAAATCAACTTTGCCTGCTCCCTCCCTCATCTTTATCTTCAATCATCTCTTAATGATTCAGCCTCCTTGCTATCTCTGACATTCATCCACTTCTACGAATATTTTCTATGTGGCTAAATACAACAGCCTTCTTAACTGTTACTCTTGTTTCCAGCTTTTGCGCCTCCAATTCACTCTCCACACACACTGCAGTCAGGATGACTTTTCTGACCTCATCACTCCCCAGTATCAGTTTGGCATACGAGTAAGCTCTTTATTTTACGATAAAAGTTCTTTATAATCTGCCTCCTGCCTATTTCTTCAGCCTGTTTACCACTCCTCCATTTCCCCTCTCTACTCTATCACACATATCCACTAAGACCTAGTCATTCAACTACTTAAAATTCCTAGCTTTTCATATCTTCTCACATTTTCATGTTTTTGCACATGCTGCCCATCCCCTACTTTTATGCCTGACTCATATTCTGTCTTCCTCCAGGAAACCTTCCCTGATTGTCCACTCCCCCAAGAATTATGTTGGGACTTTTCCTTTCTGCTCCCATCACAGTAGTGCTTTCCTCTTTCATATTACTATAATGATACATTGTTCTCCCTATTAGGTCATGCACTGAGACCATACGCAGAGTCTCTCTTAGTCATTTCCATAACAGGAACAGAGTTATAAATGCTTGATAAACTAATGAAATGTGGGAGTAAGAAAAAAATACATAATCTACGAAGTAGTGTTGAAGACAGAGAAGAGTGCCACCTTATACTATAAAAAATGAAAACGAAAAAACTCACAAACTTTCTGTCCAAAGAGCCACCCCCACACACACACATATAATCAATCAGTCAGCAAAGTTAGTTTTTCACAATGTGTCAGCTTTTAAAGATCTCTCTTCTCCCAAAAGGAACTCTACTTCACTTCCGACAAGTCAGGAAGCCTAGACTTCCATTGAATGTGAAGTATCTCTTGCACTAGTCACAATCACCACCCCTAGGGGTGCCCTCCCTGGTCAATGATCCAGCTACTGTACCATAGCTAGGTCCTAAATTGATTCACAGGGCACTCAGATGTGCTAATCTAATTTGCTTTGTGAGACTTACCCACTAGACAGTGGATGGAAATAAATTATAGTCCAAACAAATAAATTTAGCTCATATACATTGGTATTATGGTCAGTTCATATGGAAGACACAGTTATTCACCCCTAATATCCCCCTTCAAGTAAGGGCTTACTGCCAGCCAGCTGTTAGCATTGTTGGATTCTGCCTCAGCTTTTGAATCCAGATCACACTATTTTGGGGGCACCCAGTAACTTATGACTGAGAAAAGTAGTGATAATCATGGTTACATTCTCTGGGGATGTCCCCCAGCCAATGACCAAGTAAAGCAGTGGTACAAGAGCCTAGCCATTTCCACCCAACACAGGACTTCCATAATGAGCAATCTTCGCTCCACAGAGTCCTCTTGGGCTGGTAGAGACTTTATTGGGTCTGCATCACGTCTGATGGCTCCCCTGCTCAATACTGCCTCATCTCTATTCCTTCACAGATGTAATACCTTAATAAACTTTTTGCACTCCTAACTTCCTCCCCACAGCTGCCTTGAGAAGCCAACCTGTAACATTTGGTACCAGAATGGTCCAAGAAAGCAAGCTGTAAGATAGGGTGTGGAGACTGAATTCATCAGCACCGGACTGGTGATAAGGACCCCACTTCTGTTGGAAGGTTATGCACAGAGAGCCCCTGCACAAGGCAGAAGTTCAATTCTTAAGGTGTTCGCCTGAGGTGTGTCAGAAAAATGTACCAGTAGAGAGGATGCCTTAGCTGGTAGAGTGACTCAAGCATTTCAAATGTATAGGAGAAATATAGATATAAAGAAAATGGAAGTGTATGTATGCTTTTTATTAAGTTACATTGATGCCCCACAAGCAGATAATAAGGAGCTAAAAAGCAAATCATAATTAAAAACTAAATGTGAGTCCAGGTGTGGTGGCTCACACCTGTAATCCCAGTCATTAGGCCAAGATAGGAGGATCACTCAAAGTCAGGAGTTCAAGACCATCTTGGGCAACATATCAAGACTTTTCTCTACAAAACAAAAATAAAAATAATTAGACTTCATCTCTACAAAAAATAAAATAAAATACATTAGCCGGGAGTAGTGGCATGCACCTGTAGTCCTAGCTACTTAGGAGGCTGAGGCAGGAGGATTCCTTGAACCCAGGGGTTTGAGGCTGCAGTGAGCTATGATTGAGCCACTGCACTCCAGTTGAGTGACAGACTGAGACCCTGCCTCTAAAAAACTAAACTAAATTAAACGTGAGAACACAAATTCTTCTTAGTAGCTTACAAAAAAGTCCTCATTTCATGCAATGGGTGAGCATAAAAAGCTGAAGATCAAGCCCAGGATTTGATTGTTAGAGTGGCTAAACTTCAAGGACAGTTGAATGCTCAACTAAGGTAGCTATGCTATGCCAAAGGCAGGTTCCTAGTTGAGAAAACTTAGGAACCCAACACATGAGATAGGGACACCTAAGTAGATGTCTCTAAACATTTTGACTTCCTACTTTTCTATAAAGCTTCTGAGCCTGTAGAAGTGGCTCATTCTTCCCCAATAAGAGCTAGTACTGCCTCTGTATGAGAAGATGTTACAGAGGTCTTTCCTCCACAAAGCAACAGGTTATCAGCCTCAAAACCCTTCCAAAAACAAGCTGGACTTTTTGAGAGAGTAAAAGGACTATCCCCAAAAGGAACTGGAAGACTTTGTTAGCTATATGCTGGCAAGAGACAGGGGAATCAGCATGGGACAAGGTTCTGAAAATGCTAGATCAAGGAGAACTTTAATGTAAGACTGGATAAGGGAGAGTTTGTTGGTTTGGGGGTACTATCTTGTAATACAAGACTTAACACCCTAGCAGAGACCCCAGGGGTTGTTGTAGTAACTCACTGCTAAGGTGGCTCCTGCAAGCCTAAAATAAACAGCCCATGCTGAGTAATGTTGAAATTCCTGAATTGCTGTGACAGATGGTAGAGAAAAAAAATTAAAAGGCTGAGTGAAGTGGGTGTGCTGGAATGGATGTATTATATGAAGCCAGAAGATCCACTGGAGGGTTATGTCATACAGAAGGACCCAGAAGTCACATCATTCACCTAGAACATCAGAAATGCTAATGAAAGTGGCAGCAGAATCACCAAGAAGTTCAGTGATGACACTCCTCTGCAGGCCAGAGCAGATGACAGGAGAAGTGGTCTCTTGATTTGTTGATACAAATGGAAATAATTGCCAACCCTCCACATCCCAGCAATAGAGGCCAAATGATGGCACTTCACCACTAGAAGCCAGGGTTTTGTAATTATTGTAACAACAGGCACAATTAGTTTGGCAACCAAGTGGGCCTGATCTGTAGAGAATTAAGAGATGGTTAATAGAACACAGCATCCCTAGAGGCAAAATAGATAGGCAGCCAAAAAAGGGTATTGGTTAACATATATAATTTTTTAAGGATAAGATTAAATGAGCAGGAACTAGAGGTCAGTATTCCCAATTAAAACATCATGATTCCTAGTTCAGTTTCCAGACTTGAACTAATTTTCAGCCCCAGAACCCACTTACTAAAGAGATGGCCCTCAGGAGGAAGAGCCTTGCAATAGCAGTTTTTGCCCTAGTTCTTGCCAAAAGGACCCACAATTATCTACTTGGGTAAATTTACTGTACATTTATTGTACGCAGTGTACATTTACTGTGCACTATAAAAAAGGGCCTATCCAGATATTTCAAGCACTACTGGACACAGAGTCTGAATTGCCATTGATACTTGCAAACCTAAAACATCATCATGTCCCTTGTTATAGTGGGATCATATGAGTGTCAGAAAATAAATGGAGCTCTGGTCAAAGCCTCATAGTGGATCCACTGATTCTACTGACTCACCTGATGGTCATTTTCCTGGTCCCTGAATGTATAGTTGGGATGGACATACTTGGCAACCTTCATATTGTGTCCTTGGCCATAGTGAGTAAGATCAAATAAGAGTTTCTGAAGCTGTTCCTCCTCCCCCTGAAAGAGACTAAAACAGTAAATAAAAACAGTATCACATCCCAAGGGGATGGTGGAAATTACTGTCATTTGTACAAGTTTAAGCAATGCAAAGGTGGCGATCCCTAAAATGTCTTGACCCCTAAAGAAACTTGATGGATCCTGGGAAATGACTGTTGACTACTGAGCATTCAGCCAAGAAGTAGCCCCATGGTTTCATGTACATGATATACAGCTGTTGGTTTGGTAAATGCCTTCTTTCCTATCCCAATCAGGAGAGAAGATCATAAACAGAAGATCATAACATTCATATGACGGAGACAACAAATGCATTTATAGTTTTGCCTCAGGGCTATGTTGATTCTCACCCCCTCTGTCATAATGGCATCCAAAGAGATATGGACAATCTGTATTAGACAACCCTCAAGTATCACATTGATCTTTTATGGCAATTGACATCATTATGCTGATTCAGCAGGATGAGCAAGAGAAGACTAGCATACTGGAGACCTTGGTAAGACACGTGCTCCAGAGGGTCAAAGACAAACCCTTTAAAGATTCGGGAACCTGATACTTCAGTGTAGTTAATAGGGAGTCTAATAATGCAGGGACATCTCATCCCAAGTAAAAAACAAATTGCTGAATCTTGTAGAACTGACTATGAAGAAATAAACACAATGCTTGATGGGTTGCTTTGGGTTCTGGAGGCAACACGTTCCATACCTTGGAATACTGATCTGGCCCATATAGTTGGTGAAACAGAAGGCTAACACCTTTGAGTGGGGCCTAGAGCAGGAAAGTGCTCTGCAACAGATCAAAGCCATAGTGGAAGCCCTGCTACTTGAGTCATACACCTGGAAGATCCTATGTTGAAAAAAAGATGCAAGGTGGAGTTTATGGAGGAGACTTGGGAGAATCACAGTGCAGGCCCATGGAATTCTAGAACAAGACCATGCCAGAGAACATACACACCTTGTGAAACATATCTCCTAGCACTGGGCATGGTGGCTCACACCTGTAATCTCAGCACTTTGGGAAGCAGAGGCAGGAGTCTTGCTTGAGCCCAGGAATTCAAGACCAGCCTGGGTAATATAATAAGACCTCACCTCTACAAAAATTAAAATGAAATAAAATTAGCCAGGCATGGTTGTGCACGCCTATAGTCCCAACTACTCAGAAGGCTGAGGAGGAGGGATCACCTGAGTCCAGGAAGTCGAGGCTGCAGTGAGCCATGATTGTAACACTGCACTCCAACCTGGATGATAGAGTGAGACCCTGACTCAAAAAACAAGTTTTGAGAGGTTGGGCAAATACCTGTGATCCTATCCCTTCAGGAAAACAAGATCAGGAGAATCACTTGAGCCCAGGAGTTTAAGACCAGCCTGAGCAACATAGCAAAACCCTGCTTCTACAAAACAAACAAACAAATGAAACATAGCCCCTGGAAACCTTTTAGGCCCTGGTGGAAAACCCAAAAACAGTGACCATGTGTTTAGAAATGACAGCCATGGACTGAGTCCTGTCAGACTCATTGAGTCTTAACCTTGAGCAGGCCTAGCAGCAATATGGAATGATACATCTAGGACCGAGTAAAAGCTGAACCAGCAGACACAGGAAAGATGAAGCTGCATGAGAAGGTGGCCCAGACTCCTCATGTCATCCACTGTGGTTGTACCAGGGCCCCTCCCTCATCTTACACTGGTGAGCATACTGGAGGGGTGCCATATGACCTGTTGAAGAGAAAGAAAACTCCTGGATTTGGATTGCAGATGGGTTAGCTTGGCATATGGGTGCAAGCCAAAAATGGAAAGTGAAGAGGGAAAAATGTACTAAATGAGCAGAACTAGCAGAACTATCTTGTATAAGAGGAAACATGATTCAAGGCTAGAATAAATACAGAATTATAGCCAGTGGTGAATGCCCAGGTCAGAAGCCTGGAAAGAGAAAGATTGGAAGATTAGATAAAACAGATTCTGGGATATAGGTGTGTGGATTGACATATGGGAGTAGGCACAAATTGTGAAGATCTTTGTATTAAATGTTAATGTCATCAGAGAAGATCTACTATGGAACAGTGCTAAGCATCAAGTAGACTAAGTGTTTGGCCAGTTGATGTTAACCAGCCTTCTTCACCATCCACCCCAAAACTGGAAAAATAGGTTTACAAAAGGAGAAGTATGGTAGCAGGGACTGAGAACATACATGGGCCCACAATATGAATTCCCACTAACTTAGGGTGATCTAGCTATGTCTACGTGTCTAAATTGCCAGTAATAGTAGCCAATGCTGAGGCCTGATATGGTACAGTTCCCTCAAAAGATCAATCAGGGCCAGGCTCGGTGGCTCAGCCTGTAATCCCAGCACTTTGGGAGGCCGAGGTGAGTGGATTGCCTGAGCCTGCGCATTCGAGACCTGCCTGGGCAACTTGGCGAGACCGCATCTCTACAATAAATCAAAAATTAGCTGGGAGCAGCCACTGCACTCCAGTCTGGATGACAGAGTGAGACTTCAACTCAAAAAAAAAATCAATCAGTTATTTTTAGCAAGTTTTCTACAATGGACCACATCTATCCTGAAAGGGCCAGTGGTTCATCCACACTGGGATAGATATCTATCTTGGGTATGGGTTTATCTTTCCTACTTGTGTAATCTCAGCTAGAACCACTATCTGAGGCTTATAAAACATTTGTTCCACAAGTATAGAGTTCCACATAGCATGGCATCCAACAAGAGGACCCATGTCACAGCAAAGGAAGTATGGGAATGGGCCCATGACCATGGGATACATTGCATGTATCACATAGCATACCATCCAGAAGCAGCTGTCCTCACAGAAAACTGAAATGGCCTCCAAACGGCACCATCTCAGAGGCAAACTCAGAAAGAATGAATTAAAACAGAGACTTCCATAAGGTGCTATGTCCTCTGTAAGAAGGATAGAGGGCTCAGAAAACAAGGAGTGGAAGCAGGAATGGCCCCACTAACCATCACTCCCAATGACCCATTGGAGGATCTTGTGTCTTCTGCCCCTAAATCTCCAAGCTTTTTAGCATTAGAGGTCCTGGTCCCCAAAGGGGATACACTCTCACCAAAGGATACAACAAGGATCCTATTGAACTACAAGCTGTGACTGACAACTGGACGCCTGGGTTTCTTGTGTCCAAGGATTAGCAGCCAAGAAGAGAACTCACTGTCTTATCTGGCATAATGACCCTGATCATCATGAGGAAATACGAATAATTTTTCACAATGAGAATGGAGAGAAATAAGTGTGCAGTTCAGTTGATCCACTAGGATTCCCCCCTGGCATTACCCTACCAATGTAACTGTGAGTGAACATGTGCAGCAACCCTAGTCTGCAAAGGGTATGATTACCAGGGACTTTGATCTTTCAGGAATGAGAATTTGGGTCAATCCACCAGAAAAGCCACTGAAACCTGCCAAGGTGAGAGCTGAAGATAAAGGGAATTTTGAATGGATAGTGGAAGAGGGAAGAAATGAGTCTCAGTTGCAGCCCAAAACCGGTTAAGGTGGGATTGGGAGGCTGTAGTTTATCCCACTAATCTTCCACTTCTAGGACAGGTCTACAAGATCCCCAGATGAACTTCTCCTTGAAGATGTGTGGAAAAATAGAGCAGCATGATACAAGAGGTGGACTGTGGCAGACGTAGAGATGCACCACTCAGATCCTTCTTCAAGAAAAACCTCACTGCCCAGTTACATGGAAAGTAATTACTTGACAGCCACTAGCTTTTAACATTTTAAGGGTTAGCCTCAGTTTTTGAACCAAGGTCATGCTCTTCTTGGAGCAGCCCTAGCCAATGATGGAAGATGGCAGTGGTACAAGAGTCTAGCCATTTCTGTCCAATGTGGAACTCTTCCAACGGGAATCTCCACAATTCCCCATTGGACTTGCAGAAACCTTAGATCTGCACTGAGTCTGATGGCTCTCTCTGCCCAATCTTCCTTCCTTTTTACATTGAAAGTGTCACTCTTTCATAAATTTCAGTGTCTACTTCCCAGACAACCCATCCTGCAACAGTCCCTTTTAAAATAAAGTGCTCTGTCTTTAGAAATTCTGTCTGTTGCCCCTGCTTAAGGTATTTGGGGGCAGTGTGTGGTTTAAGTGACTTCCTGGTAGCCGAGAGTAGACAAGGCTGTCAAGACCCCAGTGTGCCTTTTACTCCTCACTGGTCTCTGCTGTAAAGAGACTAGTCTGGGCTGCTCCCTGGACTGGTGGTTCCTAAGGCACAATGCTACCACTTCTGAGCACTCTGCTGGTGTCTGAAGCAGAAGCCTACAACTAAGGTCGCTTGTGAGCCATTGTGCCTCTCAGCATGGTCACAACCTAGCCAATTTCCCTGCTGACACAGTCTTACTAGACTCTTACTGGTGCTATGGAACCCTTCTCTGGAAGTCTGCCTGTAATCTTCTGATCTTGTCCCATGTACATGGCCACTCTGTCCCTGTCATAGTAATCTGCTCTTGAAAGCTCAGCAACTATAATCTCTGCTGCCTTGAAGAGTATGAGAGAACTTTGGAATCTATACTACACGGAAACCAAGGACAGCTCTGAAGAACTTAACTTGGGTCATCTCGCTGCAGAACGATTCTTGTCCACTAAGTGTACTTTGCAACTTTCGTAGTCATCTCCTCCCAGAGTCTTAAACTTGAAAAAAGGAGGATGCCTCTTTACTCTAGAACTTTATCTCAACAAGGGGAGATTGCTATATCCCTGACCACACATTTCTCCCTTACCTCTACCTCTCTATTCTTCCTCCTACAATCCAGAGAAATCAGAGAAGCAAGTTTTAGAATCCTTCTTCTTGCTGGCCCAAAGGGCCCGTAGGTTAAACTCCATGATCAGCTCTGCCTGTTTTCTTTATAGAGAAGATAATGGAATTTAGAAAATCCCTTTCCAAACTTAATAAAATCTGGCTCTCAAGCCTATTTTCTTGCTTTGAACTTGAAAATCTGAAATGGAATACTATTTTTTCTCTTTAAATTCTTGCTATTCAAGTCATAATTCTACCCTTCTGTCACCACCCTTGGGCAGACAGATGCCTTGAGTAATCTATGAAGAAGGTCATGTATGTGACAAAGTAAAAGAGGAAAACACATTAATATAACTTGGGGATTATGTCTATTACAGAACATACCTTCATCTAAACTTGCCAAGTCTCAAAGTCCTACTTCTCTTAATGATCTATAGGGAAAAGATTTGACGAACTGATAAATCAATCATGCCTTGATGTGAAAGGAAATTTACATATTTATCATCATATCAAGCCTAGGATGTAGCTGCTCTTATAAAATAAGAAAACTGAGACACAGAAAGGTTAAGAAACTTGCTAAACACAACCTGCAAGTGTCTGTATATGTTAATTGGGTCATCCTACAGAGACAATACTACAAACCAAAGGGATCAATGTCGAATGTTAAATTTCTAACCTGCTGATTGGTTAATTTCCAGAGGCATCAGAGCCAACAACATTCCACTCAACATTTTTTAAACATTCTTACCTAAAGGAATTTCCATTCCAGGATCCTCCAAGGCCTTGATTGGAAGCTCTAACCTTGACAAATATCTGACTAAATTCAAGGCTCCTCTGAAATGACAATAAACAATAAATGCCATCCATGGGGCTTTCCCTCGTTCGTAGCTCCTGGCTTATATCTGACCCTCATCAGGGACCATGTCTTAGTGATGACCATTTCATTGTGGAACAAAAAGCCCCAAAACCATCTCAGAGAAACAATTTGGAAATTTTAATGTGGCTTTTCCCTTTTCTATTTTCTCTGGTAGGATTTACTTACAGGCATAAATATGAAAAATACATATCACATATGATGATTCACAATTATTAAAATTAAATAAGAGAAAATCTTTGGCATTCACATTCATTTTCTTACTTGGAAGAGACATCCCATTCTACTGATTGCAATATAAATAAGTCTGGAATAATGATTGTGATATTCCATTAAACTAATGAATTCAATCTCATAAGTCATTTTTATGGATAAAATTTAACATATTGTATTAATTCCAAACAGAATACATTTGCAATTTGTTTCAGGAAAACAGTTTACTACCTACATTGTCAACAATCATTACTTCCTGGTGTTATTTACCTGATCCCAATTTCCTAGCTAATACCACCGTGTGTGTAACGAATAATGCACTGTGTGAAATGTACACTGTGCAAAAACACATTATATATAGCACAGTTATTGGTGTGTACATCACCAATAAAGTAATTTGTATTTCTCCCCTGCCTCCCACTCCTTTTCCACCATAATATTTTTAATCTAATGTATACCTGGAAGAGACATTTAAAAGGTGGGAGGAAGGAGTCCAAAATGAGCAACTTTTTTTTCAGGATTATTTTTATTGAGATATAAATGAGCATACAAGTCATCGCCACCCAGATCAGGACATAGAAAGTTTTCAGCACCCTAGAAAGTTTCCATGTGCCCCCTTCCTGTCTATAACCAGGAAGTAACCACTATTCTCACTTGTATCACCATAGATTCATTTCAAAGAGAGCCACTTTTTAAAAATGTAAATTCAGTACAGAAAAATATTCCAAAGTGAAGATTGAAATTATTTGTCACTACTGCAAAAGCACGTCAACGAAAAGTCCAGCACTCTTAGCAATGAGACTTAACAACAATAATTTTCCTTTTTTCAGAGACTGATTAGTTAGTTCAAAATTATTCAAACCTCTGACTTTCCTTCTTTCTTTAGAGTTATTAAATCAGTACTTTTGCTTTTTTAATTATTTTATTTTTGTATTTTTATTTTAAACAAAGTTTCTTAGAGAAAGAAAAAAGAGACATGCCAGAGCTGGCATGTGTGAGAGAAGCCACCCACTTTTTTTGTTTTTAATCCTTGCTCTCTCTCATTCCGCCTCCCTCCTCACTACCTCTAACAACAAGTGGAGTGCTGGGTCTGCTTGCAGGAACTTTTGAAAGCTAATGTACACATCTCTTCCTAACTCCACATTTGGTAACATCCAACTGGTAGTTTAAAATTAGCCATAGTAGAAGTATTTACACTATAGAAATTGGCAAATGCTACAAATCTGGGCCACACAGCCCCTAGCATTAATTGCTAAACATTAATTGCACACCACTGACCACTACATCACACACATACACACACAGCATTCAAGTCATGTCAACTTGCTTCAAAGAAGTGCTTTGGGAATTAAAAATGCAATCCAGTCACACAAAACAAAATTAACCACAGAAAACTTAGTAAGAGCAGGTTTCAATTCAGCCAGTCTTTAGATTCGCAACAGCCTGCCATTCATTGTGGTTTGGTTTTGCAACAATCGCCATTTTGTTAATTAGTCTCACAAAATTTAAATGTATGACAATATTTTAATTGAGGTAAACTGTTGCTAACCTTGCCTGAAAGTTTTTTCAATGCCTTAAGGACACAATAACATATTGCAAAAATAGTTGACAATTCACTGTGTGAAAGGATTTTAGTAACTCAAGTCAGTACTGCAATCTCCATCTGTTTTGTATGGCTTTAGGCATATAATGCTTTACCTCTGAACCAAAGAATAGTGTCTACTTCTTATAAAATTCCTCACAGTGCCTAGCACAGTGTTAGGTTTGAGCAGATGTCTAGTAACAATGTATTAACTTCACCATTCCTCCCCTTATTTCTTCTCCATCCCATCCCCCTAATCAGTTACCCCATACTTTTTCAGAGCTACTTCCTACCATCTCTTTAACCTACCCAGTCACACAAAATAAACCCTACCACAAAAATTGAGGAGTATTATAGATCTTATATATTCCAAAAGAGTACAGTCATTTGACAAATATTTAAGCACTAATATGAAGGGCATTATTCTAAATATTAAGTGCATACAAATATGATGTATACACAAACTCTGACTTGAAGAAGATTCTAGGCAGAGTAGATCAATACTGTCTTAGTCCATTTTTGTTGTCTACAACAGAATACCTAAAACTAGGTAATTTATAAAGACAAGGAACTTATTTATTACAGTTATGGAGGTTGAGAAGTCTGAGGTCAAGGAGCTGCGTCTGATGAGGGCCTTCTTGCTGGTGGGGACTCTCAGCAGAGTCCTTAGGTGTTGCAGGGTATCACATGGAGCGGGGGTTGAATATAATTGTTCAGGTCTCTCTTGCTTTTCTTATAAAGCCACCAATACCATTCCCATGGTAATACATTAATGCATGAACCCATTAATCTATGAATTGATTAACCCATTCATGAAGGTAGAGTTCTCTTGACCTAATCACCTCTTAAGGACTTCACTTCTCAAAACTGCCACATTGAGATTCAATTCCAACATGACTTTTAAATGGAACAAATATCCAAACTGAGCCGGGCTTGGTGGCTCAGCCTATAATCCCGCACCTTTGGGAGGCTGAGGCTGAGGTGAGTGGACCCGCCTGGGCAGTGAGACCTCATCTCTACAATAAATCAAAAAATCAGCCGGGCATGGTAGCGCATGCCTATAATTCCAGCTACTTGGAAGGCTGAGGCAAAGAATCGCCGGAGCCCAGCAGGTTGAGGCTGCGGTGACTGGGAGTGGCCACTGCACTCCAGTCTGGGTGACAGAGTGAGACTCCAACTCAAAAAAAAAAAAAAAAATATCCAAACTGTAGCAGATATATATATAAGAAACTCTGGTACAAGTAGGAAAATAATCCAGATAAAATGCTGTGGGAGGTTAAGGAAGGCAGGATTACTTACCACTAGGATAGTTTGAGGCATGCTGTGTTGAAAGCAGAAGTGGAAGAGCAAATGACCAAAGCAGGAAAGCTCAAGAGCATACTCCAAAAACAGCCATTTGTCTGGAGAGTAGGGTGTAGAAAGAAGAATAACTTATAATGAAGTTGGAAAGTAGAGGACAGATTATAAAAGATTATCAATATTTTGTGAAGGAGTTTGAGCTTTAACTTGATCTTTGTATTACAGAGTTTGCCAGATTATGCTGCAGTAACATCTACAACATTAATGATGCAAAACAAGATTTATCTCTTACTTATGCTACATGCAAATTTTGTATTGTCTAGAAGCCCCTCAAGATGCAGGACAATAGAGCAGCCACCACCTGGAGCCAGAGAGACAGAGAATGGGGTAAATTGTACACTAGCTCTTAAAACTTCTGCCCCGAGATATCACATGCACATCATTTCTGCCCACATTGCATTGGCTATAGCAAGTTATGTGGCCACATCTAACTTCAAGGAAGTGGAGGTACAATTCTATTATGTGTTTAGAAGCATACAGAGCCAGATATACTTAATTGACAGCACTAATGACTATCAGAGTCTTTAATAAGTGGTTGGATATGGTCGTATATAGATTTCAGAAAAATCACTTTAGCAGCATGTGTTAGATCAATTAGAGGGAAGTTAACCTGAAGGCAGAAAGTTTAATCAAGAGGCAGTGAAGTATTCCAGGGAAGATATGGTGAAGGTCTCATCTAGAGCAAAGTGGGGAATTACACAAAAGGGAATGGATGCATGAGACATTTAATGAGATATTAAGGAGAATCAACAGGACTAAGCCAAGAGGTCATGAAAGCAAGTGTAGGGATAAATAGAACTGCTGCTGTTACACATGTCTAGTGGGCAGAGACTTTGCTGATGGGCTGTTGAGATTTGACTGGTGATGGAGTGGGGCTAATGGACAGACTTAGTAAGTAGGACTGGCGAGTATGGCTGGTGGTTGTTGATTATTAGTGGTGAGCTGTGGATGGTGGTTGGTGGGTGTGGGTGTTGGAATTTAATACAATTGCAGTGTAGCATATAAGGTAGGGCACAGTGGGAATTTAGGATGAATTGAAAGGTAACCAAGAGCCAAACAGAAAAGGCCTTGACCACCGTGACACAAGGTTTGGATTTTATCATAAAGACAGATAAACCACTTAATCAGTTAAAGCATATCAGCCAGATGATGCTTCAAGTTCATAGACAGGTATAAAGTGAGAAAATCACGTGATAGGGTAAGGTCAAGGGTAGCTGACCAACCAGTGTACAAATGAATTTGACATAATTCAAGAATACAGGCGTGGGCTGTGTAATGCAGACTGTATCATCATAATTCACATCTACCTGATACTTGACAACTGTCTAGACAAAGGTAAATTGGAATGCTTCCTAGTTTCTCATACAGGATTTTATTTTTCCATTTTTAATTTTGTTATTATTTTTCCTATTTATTTTCTGCTACTCAGTGGCATTATTCTACTGTTGAGCATGCCTGCCCATAAGAAAACCAAGTTTAAAGAAGATTCTACTAGCCAGAAACTTCCTTCATGAATTAATCTCAGAATCCGGCCTTCATGAAAGAACTGAGTCCAGAAAAATGGGGGACCATTTGGTAACTACAGTGAAGAAGTCTGAAAAGTTAGCACAAGTTTGGCAGAATGGGCTGAAACACCATAGAGTGAAAGTCTTAGATCTGAAGCTGCCTTTATGAAGGAATTTAAATTCTACCATCATAACCAAGATTTACATTAATGCAAGCATCATCATGGTTTAAAGTTCAGAAATTTGAGCAACCAAATGCAAAGAAACCACAGAAATGAAATAAAAATTAGTCACAGAGATACTCATATTTAATAGAGTTCAACAACCAAGTTGTAGACAAGAGTGGTAACCCACATTTTATAGCCATTGAAGCAAAGTGAAATAGATGGGGAGCTGCTAATACATTAACATTTTTAGAGCCCCTTACAGAAAAATTAATTTAATCTACTTTTGGCAGCTAAATATTTGGAAATAAATCATAAAATATTTTGTATGGAGCTCTTAATGTAGCCTAAGAGAGGATGGGGAGGAAAAAGAAAGAGAAAAACGTTCTAGTTAGAAAAGAACTATATAACATAGGCAAGGGCCAAGCTCAGTGGCTCACACCTGTAATCGCAGCCTGAGGCAGGAGGATCACTTGAAACAAGGAGTTCAAGACCAGCCTGGGCAATATAGTGAGATCCTACCTCTTACAAATAAAAATAAATAAAATGTTCTAGCTCTTTGAAACTTGGAAGGTAAAAAGAAAGAAATTAATTAATAATAACATAGGCAAGATGGATACATTTAAAATGACCCACAAACACACACAGCACTACTACTTTGTGAGTGCTCGCTGTAGGCCAGGCACCATATCATACAATTTGCACACATTAACTAATTAATCCTTCCAATCTTCCTTTGAGGTAGGTACTTATGTCAGATATTGTCTGTGGATACTTAGGTCCACACTTGACCTTCTATAATTCTCCCTGTACTGCTGGGGCTTAGAGCCAGAAAACCTGAATTTCTAAGACTCTCTTGCCAGGACGGTCCTGGCTAGCTTTTGCCAATGGAAGGCTCTCCATGAGATAATAAAGTAGGAGAAAAGGGAAAAGCCATTCTACACTTGGCTTTGGCAGTGGCAGCACCATATGACTATAGGCCCCAGCAGCATCAGTGGAGTTCTAGGAGCCCCAGCGGCACTGTCAGCAGCAGGTGCATGCTCATAGACTCTAAACATATCCACTTTTCCCATTTTTGCTCATCCAGCCTTTAGAGAACTGGAGCTTTCTGTAGTTACTGACATCCAGGTTATACCACCCTCTTCCCTTTGCACCTCCAGCTCTTCCAATGCTTGTGTAATCAATTTCCTGTATTAAATCTCTCTGTTTGAAACACCTAGAGGGATTTCTGGGATTTTTTCCATGGACACCACATTATGTCATTTAATATTTTTCAACAACCTAAAAGTACTATTATCATTATTTCAGACATAATCCAAATGTAACCTAGTCTAAACAATTTTTTCCCACTCCCTCTCCCCCCACACCCAGTATTCCTGGGAATCTTTAAAGAGGAGTGTTATATATACTTTCAAATTATTTAAGACTCAAAGTTGCATGTGACAGAGATATGCCTCAAACTAGGTAAAGCAAACAAAATTTATAAAGGTAATCTGATTGGCCCACATGGCTAGGAAATATATTAGGTTAAACCAGAGAACTCAAAGAAGAAATGAAGAACAAGGACCTTGGCTGAAACTTAATGTCATCAGGAAGTCTCTCTTCATCAGGAATTAAGTCTCTCTTCATGTATCTCTTATTTTTGTGTGTTTCTAATTGGCTTCATTCTTTCCTACTGCAGATCGTCCTTCTCTATGTGGCAGGGAAGATAGTAACTGGCAGCTACAACATCACATCCTTAGAGTATAGCCACAAGAGGATAACCTGAGAGGCCAGATGATGTTTCGTGCAAGTGAAGAAGTCAGGACAAGGATTCTGATGAAGCATTATAGATCAGGTACCCATTTCTTAGTTTTATTTTGTTTTGCTATTTTGTTTTTGTGGAAGAGAAAGAAAGGCAGAGCATGACACTTGAAGGAGAATGAAAAAAATATTTTAGGCAGACAGAAACAAAAACAACCACAGGCCACTACAGCTATTATTACCATCCAGTCATTTCCCTATTCCAGTGCTCCTCTAACTTCTACTTGTCAATGCCCACTGCCTGAAAAGCCAGTGGACTTTCAAACTTCTTTTAAACCTCAGGAAGGCTATAAGGTGCATGAGAACTGGGGACCTCACAACTATGAGGTTTTTTTTCACATAGGTCGTCAGTATTCATTACTATGGATTTATTTATTTTGGTGTGGTAAAATATATTTAACATAAAATTTGCCATTTTTAAGTATTCATTTCAGCAGTATTAAGTACACTCGCATTGTTGTTTAACCATCACCACCACCCATCTTCAAAACTTTTTATCTTTCCCAACTGAAACTCTGTACCCGTTAAACTATAATTCCCAACTTCCCTCTCTTTTATTCCTGGGAACTGTCATTCTACTTTCTATCTCTGTGAATTTGATTACGCTAGATACTGCATATAAGTAGAATCATGCAGTATTAGCCTTTTTGTGATTGGCTTATTTTACTTAGCATAATGTCTTCAAGGTTCATCCATGGTGTAGCATATGTCAGAATTTCTTTTTTTAAGGCTGAACAACATTCTATTGTACACCTATACCATGCTTGTTTACCCGTCCATCCATCAATGGATATTGGGCTTGTTTCTGTGCCTTGGCTATTATGGATAATGCTGATATAAACATGAGTTTACAAATATCAGTTCTTGGATTGCCTAAGCCTGCGGGTTCGAGACCCACCTGGGCAACTTGGCGAGACCTCATCTCTACAATAAATCAAAAAGTTAGCCAGGTATGGTAGCGCGTGCCTGTAGTTCCAGCCACTTGGAAGGCTGAGGCAAAAGGATCGCCAGAGCCCAGCAGGTCGAGGCTGCAGAGGCCAGGAGCGTGCCACTGCACTCCAGTCTGGGCGACAGAGTGAGACTCCTACTCAAAAAACAAAAACAAAAACAATTATCAGTTCTTGCTTTCATTTTTTAGGGTATATATCCAGAAGTAGAATTGCTGGATCACATGGTTATTCTATATTTGATTTTTTGAGAGACCACCATACCATTTTGCAAAATGTTTGCACCATTTTACATTGCCACCAACAATGAAAAAGTGTCCCAATTCCTCACATCCTCACCAATATTTGTTATTTTCTGTTTGATTGGTTTTTATAATAGACATCCTAATGGGTATGAAGTAGTATCTCATTGTGGCTTTTATTTGCATTTCTCTAATGATTAGTAATGTTGAGCATCTTTTCATGTGCTACTTGGCCATTGATACATCTACTTTGAAGAACTGTCTATTAAGTCTTTTGCCCATTTTTAACTAGGTTGTTATTTGTGGTTTTTGTTGAGTTATAGGAGTTATTTATAGATTCTGGATATCAATCCTTTATCAGAAATATGATTTGTGGCTTA